ATTGAAATATGGAAATTCTCAAAAAAAGTTATCAGTTTGAGTGCAGAGCTTTCATGGGGTCTTTGTTTTGTTTTTAAAATTCAATCCGTAGACGGGTTTTGTTAATATTTATTTGACAATAACAGAATATAGTATCGAGTAAATGGGAACTACATTGATGAAATTCAAAAAGCACTTCGTATGAATCCGCTGTAACGGACAATTTTATATAGCGTGTTTTATTCTCTATTTAAAAATGTATGCGCTATGAAATAGAGTTGCGATTGTTTTAACTGAATAAATTATGGACAAAATGTTATGAAGGTACAAAAGCGGGCGCCCATTCTTTTACCATTCAATTATTTACTGTAAATGAGAAATTATTACTTATTACGCAATACTAGTTATAATTGGCGTCTGTTTGCAACTACAAAGATAATATAATGAGCCGCGAGGCAAAGGAAATGCAAGTCATATAATGTTTAGATGTACACGAACACACTAGCGCCCTCCAGAGAAATTTTAATTTACTTGATAAGATCAAAAAGGCGCTGCACCAGTATAAATTTGACTTCTTACTTCGGCTTAAGTAGTTACTGTTTCTATCTAATTTATCCAATCTAATTTACTTTAATTACATTATTGTGCACAATCTATGCATTAACAAAGGTACTCTTATCTGTTCAGCGGCTTCAGTCCAATTAGAGAACAATATAGCCGATGGTCTGTGGCCTGTATAATGTATGTTGATGTAGTAATACTTAGTTCTAATTAGAATTGGGATGTCAATCTCCCATTATGCTAGTTGAATAGCCGGAGACTATACAATAGAACATTAACATGGTCATTGGACATATTGTCTTTAATAATTACTCCTCTTAGTAAAATTCTATTCAATAAAACGCTAAGATACTAATTAGTTCTCATAATACTGTAGTCTCACTTTTTTAATATCTTGTATTACCATAGATTGCGTGGTTTTATGAATGAAAGTGTAGGTTTTGTCTTTTAATATATTTTCAAAAGGGAGATATGTGGAATATTTTATTTTAGAAAATGCATGGCATCTTGTCGTAATAATAGCTCGCCGGTGCAAGTTAATTCCAGTGGTTATGTATAAATAGATGTTGTGATAAAAATAAATATAGCCAGGCTGTAAGGTATCGCGGCTGGCTGTTCACGGTGCGACGTATGTATATTTACGTACCGCTCGGGGAGCCTATTTATAATATGTCGGTAGCTTCAGATCGGCACAGGCTTTTAGACTCGTGTGATATTAAACACGTGTCTGCTAGCTATAAATGGTTTTAAATTTTTTACTCGGTAACAAATATAGCTCGCTAATACACAGTTAACCTATCACCTGTAATAGATAATAGATCTATTAGTTAGTATACTGGAGACATCTTCTTTTTAAACGAAATGCTAATTCTAAAATAATCTCGCTTTAGTAATTATAATCTGCAAATGCATATCACATGGCCATACACACACAGTACACCATGTATGGTACTCCTATTCATACGGTAGCAATTTCTCGAAATTAAAATTTCGGAGTCCATTCAGAAATGCGTCTGGAAACGCCAAACAAAATGTCGCGCAGACATCTCGCCGTGCGATTGTTTTCGGCGGCGGAAAAACGTACAGTGAATAGAAAACCTACATCATTAGTTGAGGAAAAATATGGTCACGTAATTAAAACTTACTTTTAAGTACTTATTCATTATAGAAATGTTAAGTACGCTACGCAATTTAATGAAAAGAGATATTCATGCGTTATAATTTGTCGCGAAAATTCATTACCATTCGCCATGTTGCAAATTAATTTATACGTAGTTTATTTCATAGAGGCGCGTCGTATTTGACTTATTTCTCTGTGAAAACCGGCGCTTTGTTGCGGATTTGACATTCGCTTAACATTTTGTATCGAAGGGAAATAATTTAAATGAACGTCAAGAGTACGAACGAATGAAATTCCGCCTTCAAAGCGTCGTGATCACTTAATGAGCTTAGACGCTAATAGCTCTGTGTCGAAATAAAAATACATCGAACGTTCTACGGTATGTTCTTATATTCTTTTCTCTTTTGAAGATGGAAAATTACATGAACGTATGGTTTCTTATAAATCGTTTTTGAATAGTATTTATCTTTGTAATAGGCTACGACGTTAATGAGAAAATTTGTGAAAAGAAGTAGTTGCTGGATCTTTCTTTATATTTAGAAATTCTGGTAACTGACTTTTTTCATTAGCGACAGCATTACTTTTTTCGTGTCAATATATACGACGCTAGGATTTTTCGCCATCTCTTTTCTTTTCCATGGAAACAGAGAGCAAAGTGTAGATTATTCCAGAACAAAACTGTCTCATTTACCATTTTATTACAAAATCTGCTGCAGAGAGATAAAAGGTAATTAGAGACATGAAGGGTTATTATGTAAATATGCAATCGGATTTATTCACACATTTTGTACTAACACAATATGATACCTGTAATCGGATCATCTATCACTTAATTAACATAATAATGACAACGGCCATCAATCCCCACACATGCCGCTTTAATTAACTAATTACACTAATACGAACAATATTATCGAATAGTAGTTAATAACTGCGTGAATTTTGTTGACAATGCAAAAACATAAACGTTAAAGATAAGCTTCTATCCGCAATATCCCCCGCAGACTCGCTCAGCTTTTCTCAACCAGTAAGATTTTTTCTAATCTTACTCCTAGCCTGGCATGGGCAATAAAAAAGTTTCACTGCATTGTACTAGAATACAAAATGAAAATAATAATGAATGTAACCAATGAATATTGACTTTTGCGTCTAGCGGAACTATATATCCTGGCACGACATCCGAAGCCCACTTCGACCAATTAACCAAAACTAGAATTGGCAATAGATTGTCGTTATACCATTTACTAGACACCGGAGTTTGGTTTGGAAATACGGCCTTAGTAACCGGGTTAGTACGCGTGCAGCACCGGAATTCGATACATTACTTACCTTTTTGGTCTCGATTAGAGTGCATTTAATCCAGCCCTGGATATTGGATCGCTTTCTATGTACGTGTTATTCAATTTGCTACGAAACGCAACGACTTTGTGCCGTCTACGGGTCAATGGGATTGCAAAGGATTATCAGGCATCTTTGACTGGAGCTCGGATGTTTCTTTTAGCTTCAACAACCGGGATGTACGAGGCAATACGTTTTGTTATTGAACAAAGAAAGTCAACGCTGTACTCTTAAACTACAAAATAAAGAAAGATTTATAAGACTCAATACTGTTTATATGGTTGAGTATATCACTCGTGGCGCAAGGACGTATCGGATTAAATAGGTTTTACAGCTCAAAGGTGTATTTGAAGTTTAAAAGTAGCTAGTAATATTCCTCCGAGTCTAAGAAAGCCTGCACGTACCCAGTGCCTTGTATTGTACGGTCCCGGTCGCTGCAAATTGAAGTCCCAATGGGCTACGCTAGTGTAGAAACAGACGCTCCACACACGTTTGTCCGCATTCCAAAGACTTGCAATATGAAGTCCGCAGCCTTTAGCTAGCTTTATACAAAACCAATACCGATCTATGATTGAAGTCATAGAATTTATGTCACTGTTAAACATCTTCCTTTCATTGAAATATAAGTTACATTATTACATTTAAAATCAGGTCAAATTGTGAAACTTGTAGTTTCCCACAAGCTATCGCGAATCAAATTTCAATCCATGTTTGAGAAGATTTAATTTCAACGCGAATTGAAACTAGTGAAAAAGTTTGGTGAACGCAGTAACATTTCTATTTGTGTGACGTAATCAAGTCTCGAACAAACTCCGCCCAAGTTACAACGTTTGAATGTCGGATATTTTTATTTCATTGGTATATGTGTGGAGAAAATAGAGAAAATATGCGTATTCCTTTCAGTAGATTTTTCCTGAATTCTCATGGAACAGAAATGTTGACCAATTGGAGCGTCGTTCGGTACGTCTGCATTAATCAGTGCAGACTGCATCGCCCCTGCAGTTCGCATTCTATCTTAGATATATAGGACATCCTTAGAATGACCGCGTCGGACACAGTCTAACTTGAATTTTAATTAAAACCTGATTGCATCGTCGAGCCGAGCACAATCTTAATGGAAACTCGGCTATCCTGTAGTTATAACTAGCTTCTAAGTTTGAAGCTCCGCAACGGCCAATAATGAATTGAATAGTGTGTATGATATTGATTGGAGATATGATAGCTGTGGACTTGAGTGGCTCGCTCGCCTTTGACTTGGAAATGTATAGCACTCTGCGTCCGTACCGTCCACCACGTCTTAGTTATCAATATCTGAATTGTAGATCAATCTGATACAAACCATTCTCGGTATTCTGATTACGCTATATGGATCGTGTAAGGCGATACGGTTAGGAATACAATCATACTCGACACTACCTATACAAGGCAGTGTGATATTGTATAATCTTTTGCACAAATTCATTGTAATTTAGAAATATGATGGGTATACACATATACACCGATCTATCTACGACTCATAATTAAATTAATAGTATGTATTGTATTGTTTCAGACCACAATGTCGCCGGTTAGACTGACATCAGTCGTAGTCAAATGACAATAACTAGATTAAAGGTAATTTTTTAACTTTTTAGAAGTATGGTCTTTAGATTTGGAATACACGAACTTAGATGAGATGCATGATGGATATGTAACTATAACACTAATGTATACAATATATGTACTACGTAGAAATGTATTTTGTGGTCAATATCTTAGCTTTACACTTCGTTTTCGCCTTGCGTAATTTGTGGCATGGTTGGAGCTATGATTACTGCTTATTGCGGGTTCGATTCCCGTATACTCTACGTTGCTATTGTGTACACACACTAGCGATACCCATTAACGTTACGTGTATACCCGGATAGTTTGATCCTGATGTTTGTTGCATGTGTCTGCACTGTAAGCGTTATCTAATGGCGCCGTATGTCCGTTTCTCTGTCTGTCAGTGTCGGGAGCGCTCATGAGACAGTCGTGTCATCGTTTGCTGGAACATCAACACCCGGGAGGGGAGGAACCCCCTCTGTACTCACCCATAGACCAAATTTCAGGTAAAATCATTATTTAGCATCCGTATCATTCGTACCAGGGTTTCGAGCGAGAAAGTTCTATGGCTCATTCCTAAAACAAATTCAAAATGAATTATATATTCAACTAAATTTGCGCGATGATTCACTTTTCAGAAATGAGAACATTATCTCTAATTTGAAAGTGACTGTTATATTTGAAAACGAAAAATTAAATTTGTTTTATTAACATCTCACAGAAAAAGGAAAACATATTTAATGATAATATAAAATTTTGTTTCTATTGACAGTAAACTAATTTTGAAGTTATTAAGGTTAAAGAACGAGTCGTTCCGAGGCCCTGGTACTGAGGTTTAGATTTGTTTATCGAGATTGAAGTTAGCAGCTAACTTGTGGGTAGTAGGCCAAGGATAGTAGGCCAAACAAAGTATGGAGCCGCGGCCTGTTTCATCGGCAACTAAACCATTGCTCACCTCACCGCGCAAAGTTGAAATAGCTCTCACCACTTTGCCAATATTACTTCATATGGAAGTGAGAAAAACTTGCATTTACCTGAATTAGTTTCGCACGAAACGTAATTTGATGAACACTGTTTGAACGAAACTTTCAACGATCAAATATGGGAATGTTTGAGTTTGAATTCTGAAATATTTTTAGTAGATTTAATGAGATTTCTTGCTGCGAAAGCAAATTGATTCCATTCATTTGTTTTTGAACCTACAAACATTGTACATTTTTGTTTTCGTAAATGAATTTAAAAATCATTGCTTGTCCATTTTATTTCCCATTCAGTATTTCGATTCAACAGCAAAAAATGCGCATTCTTTAATTCTTTGTTTGTGCAAAATGCAGTAACACTTTAAATGGTTCCTTTAAAAAAAATAAAAGCATTTTTTACGAAACCACTCATCCACACCTCATGCTTTTAACATTTATTTCTCTTATTTTCCATTACAAAATGCGAAAGGAATTTTATATTAAAAATGTAAGTTCATTTTATTTGAAATAAGGTTAATTGGTTCAACTATGGAGCCTTTAATAACTGGATAATCAGAAGATTAGCTTTTTATGAAGATAAAAAGTATTATACGCTTGGAATATTTATTCTTGGGTGGGTCGCTCGGTTAAAAAGTAAACTGCTTCGGAACTTCGCCTTACTTAGAACAAGTTAGCCGCTAACTAGAAACGCTGATAAAACCTTCAACTATTGGATCGAGTATTAACACTTACTATGATACGATTATAACTTTTACTTAGTACTTATTGTAGGTGTATTTATAGAAGACATTGACAGTTACGTATTACTACGCTTACGATACTTGTATCGTATTATGAAGGATGGACGGACTGCCTTTATGATGGGTCTGATTTGAAGATGGGATTGATTGCATCTTGTTCCTTATTTCTTTGGACTATTATTTACTACTCTGCTAACCCTTTAGGGGATTAAAAGGCGTTATTTTATGTAATATCATCACTATAAAAGTTAGGTAATTCGCCTTATAAATAGTTATTCTATAATTATTTTTCCAATAATTATACCGTATCCAACAAATATACATTTATAAAATGATGATAAGTACTTGCAATTGTAATTGATAAATAATTAACGGAATAAAACCGCAAATATCAATTATAAAGGAAAATCGAGAGTTTTAGTTGGAATCCTAGCTTTTCATATCACTAACCACAACATTAATTCAGTAGCAAATATTAATTAAACATGCCATGTTTTAGTCAAATAGAATGATCAAAACAAACCAACCTATTTGTCTGAATAATAAATAATAATATACAAAATTCAACTACCGTAATATGTACGGATAAATATTTGATTTTTGTATTTGTTTATCTACATCAAGCTACATTGGGGATGAGAGAAAATCAAGAAAGAAAATGTACGTAGTTGTAAGCGCGCGGTATCAAAACGCTCGATTAACGCTTGACGTGAACAGAGGCTAATAGAAGTATTTTATTTTATAGGGTAGATGCCTAATTTTTATTTTAACGTCCGTCTGGTAGATTATTTTAAATCATTAGACACGTATTTTTTATTTTCTTACAGAAACGAATACTTTCGTCGATATATTGATTTGAAATGTCACGTGACGTCACTTCTATGTGCCTTTTATACGTAGAAATGACGTTTTAGCCCCCACTCCTAAACTTTGATTCGTCTTATCTAAGTATTATTTCATTATATGACAAAATAAAATAATACTTGTCTAATATTTTTTCATTACCTAATTTACGGACTAATTAGATTTTTAATTTTCAGACCCCGTCATCATCTCAATGATGCTGCATATTATTTTTTAAATAGGGGGATACTTTCAAAATATTAGCTTTTGAGGAGAAAAGCTAGAGAGCACAGGATTCTTTCCAAACTAAAATCACGGTGAACATCATTAGCACATTAAAGGGGGCACCAGATCAAATAGGCCGGTTTCATAGCCTCAATAGTTGACGCGCTAAGATTGTCTATACCAGTTAATGTAAAGTTTCAAAATCATTTGATTTATTTTAAAATTACTATTAGTTTTATCAGCGTTACTCTGTAATGTTTGTATGTTTTAGAATATTGTGTGGTAGTTGAAACCAAGTAATAGTGTTGTTATCATTCCGATATCGATCAAAAGCGAGTGTATAATATACTCGATATCGCCATAACAACACTATTACTTGATTTACAAGTATGTGTAGAAACGTTGCACGCTTTGTCATTTATTCTTTTACATTTTATAACATATTGTACTATGTATTTATGTATGCCATTATCTAATCTCATGATCTATAAAACTATTGGTTTTACTGAAGCACTGTTACCTATTATCTTAAAGCCGTTCTATACTCTCTCGTTTCTGAACGCTCATTGGTTCGACCTCACAGTTCTTACCAACGTTCCATTAAATAACCAATGGCGCATTCAATATCCCAAAATGTTTAAATAACATTATTTTACGTGTCAACTAAAACAACATTTATTTGAACAATTAAATCCAATAATGCCCATTTACCAGGAGCTTGGAATTATTGTCACATACCTCAATGAGATTGTAAGCGAGTCTATGAGATGAATGAGTATGAGTATATTCCTAGAATATCGACCATGGGCAGCATTGTATCGAAAATTGGAAACCAAATATTCCAATGCCCATACATACGTTCACCAAAATCCGTAATTATAATACCATTAAAACAATTTAACATAAAATCAAAATGATCGGAATGCTTCCATCATTACTAGTTTCAGTAGTCAATCCATAAATAATTTTCATCATTAAAATTCCGTGTGTGATGATTTATTAATTCAAAAGTTGAATATAAATATTTACACATGAAATGATTCATCGAAAAATCCCTTTCCGAGAATTCCGCTTTACTGCAATAATCAGAATAAATAAACGTAAAGGTTTCCAACGATAAAATTAAACGAATTTTTAAATGAAAATAATAAAGTTCATACGTACATTTTACGCAAATATTATTTTTAACAAAAATAAATAAAGATTAATTCGTTCTCTGATCTGAAAGCTTTTGTATAAATACAAAATGGAAGCATGAACTTAAAAGGAAAATATTTGTGTCATTGCATTTCAAGCAAATATTATTTTATGATGGGGTGAAGTTAATTACGTAAATAATAATGAGTTGGATCATAAATGGGAAAATAATGTTGATTAACCCTTGAGGCAAAATGAACATTATCCAAAGACATTAACCTACAATGCTTTTAATATTATTAACTGTCAATATATGTTCACACAAATGTCACTGCCATTTACTTTGCAATTTATAATTCTATCTGTCTATTGACCTAAACTGGGCTTGTTTGTAGAGGATTATTTACACTCATTTAGGGACATCATTTCTCCGAAATCGAAAATATACGTTACCGTATTGTAAGGAATGAAGTCTTTTCCTTAAATCCCTGTACATTTCGAAAAATATCCATTATTATAAATGTTAAAATGAAAACAGAAAACACACAAGGTAACCACATAAAAAACTGAGAGCCCACAGCACACAAAATAGCTGAAACTTCCACAAAGCTGATATGTACACACGCAGGGAAAGTTGGCTCGCTTGTTACCGCGTTTCGACATGGTACACACCAGAGTTTCAATACACTTTGATCATAATGGTGACAGTGATGTTTACTAGTTAAAACTTGTTTGTTAGTTGTTAAAAGTTATGCAGTTTGCACTCAAACTCGCTTTAGTTACACAGACTGTTGGTCTTTTAATTAGCCGCGATGCTCACGACTTAGTTGTGGAAACGTATGTATTATATAAAACCGCTATTGTTTCTCCTACCACCTGTGAAACAATGCTTTGCTTTGGTCAAAGGAAAGCGTTAAAATCCAATATAGGACAACAATGCTGGCTCTTTTAACTGAAGCGATCCGATGTGAGAAGCATTTCAACGTTTTGTCGTTTTTGTTTTCAGACTCTTGCTTCTCTCGTAATGAAAACCAACACTAGTCCGCTGTTTGCAATCTTTTCCATACTCATAATGAAATAGTCTTCATAAAACTGAATCAAATTGAGCAAACAAAGGAGCTCGAGAGTACCGAGCGCGCCATCCGCTTTTAAAAACCGACATATGATTTTTTCTTTACATATCGTTTCGTTTTGTGGCACACACACTATTCTGTGATCGTAATTAAAAAGACAATAACGTCAAGTAACTTGCAAAGGCTTAGAAAACGAAGGCATATTCATCATATCATATTTTGACGTTGCAAAAGCAAACATTAATAAAGAAATGTCTCATCGTCGACGCCTCAAGCATAAATCGAATTTTTCGCTCTAATAGGTTTTAGATTTCGTGCCTTTTTGTAAAAATGGGTTTAGCATATCTCTACTATTAGCAGACGGGTTAGAGCTTCGAGCGTTTTTCAGATCGCCGCTGTCAAATATATAGTATCTTGGTCTTTTGATACCCGCAAGAAGAGCAGCAATCTTAATGTTTTATACTATGTCACCACACCGCGTATCGTTTTAAGGTCTGAAATGCAAAGA